CTCTCTTCCCCAGCTTGTGTATGGTAAGTGTGCTCCTTTTTCTCCCATTTACAGTATGAAACACTGTGAGTACAAGCCATGCATATAAATTGTTTTCATGTACTGGAAAATGTGAAAATGTTGAATAATTTGATGACTTGGAACTTAATATACTGTGTAATAGCTTGTTCTATACATGTGTATTGCTGGAATTGAAAGGCTAGAGCTTTTTTTTTCTTTGTTCAAAGTATTTCAGTATACACCTACATTATGGTGGATTTTTTTTTTTTGGAAAGATGAGAAATTTTGTGTATGAGCATGGAAAAGTAAGTTATCAAGATTATGTCGACTCTGATTTCTTCAACATATTTTTTCTGGACAACGTCATGAAGATGTTGAGATATTTTGATAGAATCATATATCTGTACAAGATAGAGAAGAAGAGATTGGGTGAAACATCATTCTGGATGGTTAAAAATTTAGATTTTATAAATGTAGTGAAGTTGCTTGGTGAAAATAAGATGGCTTAATTGTATTACTTGCATGTAGTTGATGTTTTGGAGTTGTCATGGGATGAAATAGAACATAAGGATGTTTCCGTGGTTGATTGTGAGACTAATAATGAGTTGGTCAATGTTCAAAAGTTTGGAGTACGTGATGAACCAGTGGCTGAGAAGCAAACATGCTATGCCGTTGAGATTTATGATGAATTATTAGAAGGTGATGATTTGTACATAGTTGATGAAGTAGATGACATGGAAGCAGATGAGGAGCATGTTATCTTTGGGAGAGATGATGTACAAGATGGTGGGAAAAAAATGTAGCATCGTGGTATACTTATCATTCCAATATTTCTCCTCATTTTTCTCAAGAACAAGGGAAACATAGTACTAGATTGGTTAGGTAGCCATTTTTCGTTATTATCAATCTTTCTTTTGATATTTATATAGAAGGGATACTGAAAATGTCAATGAATCAGAATCTTTCCCTCATTACTCAAGGATAATACACAATCGGAAGTAGTAAAAATAATATAGAAGGAACAATTTTATTTTTTTCTGCTAAAGTGTGTTTGGTGAATGTGAACAGGATTAATCTCATCTTCCTTTAATCATCAAAATTGACGATGTCCACGTGATTGATGCACAACAATTTTTTTTTCCGTCATTGATTGAGATACAACAATATAATTATGACCATAATCTGCTTCCATATGATCAACATTAGGATTTCAAGAACATCGTTGAAGGAAATTGGATTGCATATGATTAACTGGTGTAGTGTAAAGTTCAATGCCAGAATTTAAAAAAATCTCTCAAACATCTCCATTGACAGCACCATATTTATGTCATTGTTGGAATTAGGGTTCTAAAGATGGTAATTTCTTAACCGTATAAAATACTAACACCCGGAAGAATAAATTGTTTTTATGTGATACTAGTGGTACACATTTTTATATTTTTTCTAAATGATTTTGTTAAAATGATAATCTATTTCAAAACGATTACTTAACATCATACCCAAAATCAATGGAAGATCACAGGGCGAGAGTTTCAAGACTGATATTGGAACATACAATAACAAACTTTTAGCAAATAAAAGATTATTCAAAAATACTTTCCACAACGATAAAATTATTTGATAAAATTATTTTTTAAGTCAATAGAGAAGGTAGAGTGATAGCTAGTAAAAAAAAGTAAGGATGAAAAAATGTCTGCAAGTCGGCTTTTTTTTGGCCGTATAGTTAGCATTTTCCCCCACCATAATAGATTCGATAACCAGCTTCCAAAGAAAAAAATTTGATTTCTCGAGTCAATCATGGCAAATACATCAAAAGCTGTACAGACTATGAAGTCCAACGTCACCAGCTACAATATTAATTTGCCTTATAAATTATTCACCAAACCCCTCATGCCACTATCTAGAACTAGATCATCATATACATTACAAATAATAACAACAAAAATCAATGTAGAAGGCAAGAAGCTTGAGTTGGGTAAACGTAAGTTACCTTTTTGTTCCCTGACAAGTACAAAACTTATGGACCTGTCAATTGGTATTAATGAGGAGATTGATGCATTAATTTTTAGAATATCTCCTCGTATTTTTTAGTCAAATACGTTAAAGAGAAGATCAAGCAGTAATATTACTCAACACACAGAAAGAGACATTTATCTAATAACAAGAATCATTAATTCCATACAAAACTTACAAAAATCATTATCTAATAACAAATTATATTTTATTTGTAAGTTTGATGTCACAAAATGCCTTCATAAAACTCATGAGAAAATATAATACATTCATCATTTGCGGATATCAGCATTCATTGGAGAAAGTCGTCTTGGATATCAAAAAGTAAATTGTATCAACTTATCATTGTCACAAATGCAACATAATTCTGAGAAAATGGACAAGGTTGTACTTGGAATGATCTCGTTATGTTAAACCTTAGTCAAATTCTTCCTAGGTAAAAAAGGCTTCCACTCGAGAAAAATGAGTAATTCTCTTATAATATAGCATATGTTTCAAGTAACTTAGGGATCCACAACATGATAATGTCCATAAATTAAAATCATATAAAATCTGTCACATAACTCAAGGATACACGATTTAGAAAAAAGTGGAAGAAAATTAAATATTTATGAGTACTTCCGAATATCAGCATTGACTTTCAACAATGTGATGGCTCTTTCTGCAAAGTGAAACAATTCCTCATGCTTCACCTGCTCAATACATACTCATTTGTCAGCTACTTAACCTAATATAAGATTTCAAATGGTACTAAAGGCAACTCTAAGATTGTGTGTGCTGAGATAAAAAAAATAAATGAAGGATAATTGATTTTTTATATAGCCTAAAAAAATAATAAAAGTTAATGAAATGATTGCTATCAAAAAGTCAAAAGATTGATCATATAATAATTTATTTACAAGAAAAATACACTTGAAAGTTGAAGATCAAAGATATGCACAAGTCTTACAAACCCTTCCAAATCATCAAGACGTAGAGAAATATTACAATGGACTCAATTCTTTTCATGAATTCCGGCTAAGCACAATCCAAGTTGATTAATATTCTAATTTTCGATTTAGTTGCATTCAAATCTTTCATTTTCTTTATTCAAATAAAATAATCAAACTAACTAATGTTCTAACTTTTAATTTCTATAACTGGTTTTTGACCTTGCCACATACACCAAAATGGAACCAGTATTTCATTTGAACATCCAAACAAAAGGTTAAAAAAGACAAATACATAGCCCAAAAACCCCATAATTCTATGACAACATTTTCTCATTACTGGTGGACTTAAATAACACACCTAATCGGAGATTTAAAAATGCATATATGATTTCAGCAACTGCAGGGTTTTTGGATTTTAAGAAAAGAAGAAGCGAGCACGATAGCATCGATTGAAATTTGGGAGACAGGGTTCCAATCATGTGAAGAAATGAAGAAGCTCCAAAAAAAAAAAAAAAATTGTTCACCAAAGGGAATACATGATGATTGAATCGTAGAGAAGAAAAAATAGTGAAAATAATTTGTGATTTTGTTACTTATGGTTTGATTTCAAATGGGTAGTAAGAACAACGATGGAGAAAAAGTGAAAGGGGAAATGAGAAGTAAAGAGAAAAAAACAAAAGAGGAGAAAATAAGAAATAAGGAAATGCAAATTGAAAAGACCGGCTAAATTAAACAATAAATGGTAAAGAGAGAAGAAAAAAAAAACAGGTCTTGAACCGTTGTGTAAAGATTTGAGTAAAGAGGAGGTACATGAGCTTGTGTGGAGAAATGAAGAAACCATATTCCGTAAGAAGAAAACTACGTAGTGCTTACCCCCCGGGGCACATCCAAGTTGGCAAAGAATGGGCATTGCTGGGCTTGCAACCTCATGGTGGGGAGTTCGATTCCTGGATGTACCAATATTTCATTTGAATATCCAAACAAAAGGTTAAAAAAGACAAACACATAGTCCAAAAACCCCATAATTCTATGACAACATTTTCTCATCACTGGTGGACTTAAATAACATACATAATCAAAGATTTAAAAATGCACATATGATTTCAGCAACTGCAGGGTTTTTGGATTTTAAGAAAAGAAGAAGCGAACACGATAGCATCGATTGAAATTTTGGAGACAGGGTTCCAATCATGTGAAGAAATGAAGAAGCTCAAAAAAAAAAAAATTGTTCACCAAAGGGAATACATGATGATTGAATCGTAGAGAAGAACAAATAGTGAAAATAATTTGTGATTTTGTTACTTATGGTTTGATTTCAAATGGGTAGTAAGATCAACGATGGAGAGAAAGTGAAAGGGGAAATGAGAAGTAAAGAGAAAAAAAGAGAGGAGAAAATAAGATATAAGGAAATGCAAATTGAAAAGACCGGCTAAATTAAACAATAAATAATAAAGAGAGAAGAAAAAAAAAAAACAAGTCTTGAACGGTTGTGTAAAGATACGAGTAAAGAGGTAAATAAGCTTGTGTGGAGAAATTGAGAAACCTTGTTCCGTAAGAAGAAAACTACGTAGTGCTTGAGAGGAAGAAATGAAAAAGGTAAAATTAGTACATATAATATCAACGTGACGCAAAGATGATGCCTTATGAATAGTAATAAACTTTGTTCTTTTATATATTGTGGGGAAATATATTAAAACTCTATTTATGTAATTTCATTTACGATTATTTAAGTAAATAAAAAAATTATTAAAATTGTAGTGTAACTTACAAAATTCGTAGTGGTAATATAAACCCCTTCGTTGAGTGAAAATAAGGAGATTTGATCGAGCCAAACTTAAAATAATCCACCCCCGATACTCCGTCCAAACCCTAATTGGCTAATTTCCTCAAATAATTGGGACCCAAATTATCGTCTACAGTAATTATTTATTCAGTTTTTCGTTCTAATGCATATACCCGACAAATCGTACATATGATACTAATTTAGAGAAGCGAAAGAGATTTGATTTTGAAGTAAGAAAAAGCCGTTTTCGAGTTGTCACAACTAATCAAGCAATGGGTCTCTGGGAAGCGTTTCTCAATTGGCTAAGAAGGTTAAATCCTTCTGCCCTTCTCTTTGATAATATGTTTAGCTATAAGGATTTTGGTTGTTGGTGATGAATTATATGATTTACGATATATTTCTTTTTGTTCACATTTTTGTCATAGAATTTAGGTCTCCTATTGATGAATAATAGTGCTGATTGGAATTTTTGTTACGCAAGTTTATGTTATTCTAGAATCTGTTTGTTTGTGGATAATCTTTGATATGCAAACTGCCATTATATAATATAATGCGGCACTGAAAATTAATTAAAGTACAGGTTTTAGATTGTTTTAAGGTAAGCTTGCTTTTCGTGTTGGTACGAAAGGCAGATCATAACTGATTTGATTGAACTGTAGTGGAGATGGAGAATAAAAGAAATCAGAATCACTTGAACTGAACATTTTGGATTATCTGTGGTGAAGTGAAATCTTTATTTCTTTTATAAAATTTAGTATTTGGTATATGCCCCCTGCACCCGAAGAATATTTTAATTATGAAATAAGAATTGACTCGATAATTCGAAAAGCCCATGTGTTTTTTGGTCAGTGTAATAATTTCGTGGATATTCTTAACTACCTTATTGTTACCTAGAATTGAGAGCTGTTCTACGCCATTATTGAATTCACTAAGTTTGGCGTGTTCACGTGTAAATTCTCGTATATTACTGCAGAAGAGGAGTGATATATACTGCCAATTGTGATGTATCACTCCTCTCTATGTGGAAGGGTATTAAATGCACTTGGCCGTAACTTTTCATTATTTACTTTTATCATCAAACTATGAAAACATAATGTTATGGTATATCTGTTTGATGAATTACACTTGTCAAAAAAGGAAATATTTACATTGTTTGGCTCAATGAAGCGTGCATTTACGTGGTTTTTCTTATTCACGGTTAAAGTATTTCAAATCGATTGGAATGACGTTGTTGTTTGTATGTTTACAGCATTTTCTTCAAGCAGGAGATGGAGATCTCGTTGATAGGGCTTCAAAATGCTGGGAAAACTTCACTTCTAAATGTTGTTGCTGTAAGTAAATCTACGCTTTTGTTACTTATCCCTCCATAAATTTGTGAATTGTTTCCCCGACTTTTCATTTATTTGGTCCAAAGAACTTGTGCATTTACTTTGTTGTTATTTTCTTAGACTGGTGGATATAGTGAAGACATGATCCCTACGGTAACTTTTCTACTTAAAATCCTGTTCCAGCCTCTGTTTTTGCTTATTGTTGATTTTATCCAGGGATATGGAGGCATTTAACGATATTTCTTACGAATTTAATCCTTCAGGTAGGATTTAACATGCGCAAGGTCACTAAAGGGAATGTCACAATAAAGTTGTGGGATCTTGGAGGTCAACCTAGATTCCGGAGTATGTGGGAAAAATACTGTCGTGCAGTTACTGTCATTGTGTATGCAGCTACCTCTGACTAAAGACAAATTGTTCTATTTATACATGGTTTACTCCCAAAATTACCATCTGACAAGCTAATTAGTGTTTTGTAACATGATTTGATGCAGTTATGTTGTTGATGTTGCCGATCACGATAACATCAGCATCTCCCAACGTGAACTTCACGATCTGCTGAGTAAACCAGCACTCTGTGGTATTCCTTTACTAGTATTAGGGAACAAAATTGACAAGGCTGAAGCCCTGTCTAAGGAGGGATTGACTTATCAAATGTAAGTAGAGAAAGGCACATTTGGGTCTGATTGCAAGTTTGTTTCTGTGGCTTCTGCATTTGACATTTACAAATTACTGTGTGTGGTGCAGGAACTTGAAATCTATAACTGATAGAGAGGTGTGCTGCTTTATGGTTTCGTGCAAGAATTTGACTAACATCCACCAGGTCATTAATTGGCTAGTTAAGCATTCTAAATCAAAGGGTTAAGGATAGGGCTCTGTACTCTAGTATGTATTACAAAATTTTTAAGAGATGAATTTCCAGTTTGTTCTTGTTATTCACCTGATTGCATATTCATCTTTGTGGCTGATTGATTTGCTGCTTTCTTCAAAGTTGTCTTTGTAGTAAATTACTTTTATAGAAATTATGTATTTAAGCATTGCATTTCTGAATTCTGGGAAGGGCACTTCATGTGAAGTAAATTTGAAGGTAAACCCGGTGCCAAAAACAAACGGTTGGGACATATTTGTACTTATTACAAAGTTAGGGTCACAAGCTGATATTTTCCCATTAAATATAGGTTAAATTGCAAAATTTGGCCATAACCAAGTAGGGATCTTGTCCCTTTTAACTTTTTGGCAGGTTTTGGTCATCAACCTTTGGGAAATTAGCAAACTTTGTCCAGACGGATGGTGTCCATCCAAAAATATGTTAAATCTGTGCAAAATGACTTTATTGTCCTTTTAATTTAAATAAACAAATATAGACAGAATAACATCATAAAAATGAAAAGGTAAGGCAAAAAGACAAAAAGGAAAAAAGGGTCTTGCAACACCATCCCAATCCAACCTCGCGCGTGTACCCGTGACAACCCCTAGTTTATTCATCGGCGATAAATAAAGAGAATTTCCCTTTGGGTTTGATCCCCAAATAAGGGGAAAAATCAATTGTGCTACATGTGAATCGTAACTTACATATTTATTATCAACAAATGATGTCACAACCAAAGAAAAAAAGAATTATCCCTATTTCTTTTTGTAATTATCTCACATTATACAAGTATAATCGTTTAATTTTTTTCACCTCATAAATCGATAAAAGAATCTGTAAATGGTGATGTATAACAAGCATTTTTCATTGAGAACCCCTTGTTTCCATGGGATGGAATATGGAAGACTTTATTTCCCCTTTTTTGGCTCTTCTGCATATTTTTTATTTTGAGGTTATTCTGCTAATTTTTATTTTTATGATACCTTTTCAATTTTTTATTACTTTATTTTAATTTTGCTATTTGATTTAAATGACGTGATCGTCATTTTGTATAAATTTAAGAGCTTTTTTGGAAGGAAACTGTTCATTGGACCAAGTCTGCTAAATTTTCAATGAAACAACCGCTAGGGACAAGATCGCTACGTTAGGAAAAGGTTAGGGACTATTTGCAATTTACCATTTAATATATAAACAACCACCTTACAATTGAGCTGCACATCTTCTAAAACGACGTCGTAGCATCTATAGTAGGACTCATCCCTCATCTCTTTCCCGTTAGGCTTTGGAACCCTAAACCCAGAGATTCCCATCTTCACTCTCTGCAACTGCCACTGAAATCATAAATTTTAAAATCCTCAATATTATCCCCAAAATGCCCTCCATGATTTCGTATATTCCTTCCAGATACCTAGCTCGAACCCTTTTCTCGATGACGCGGACTTTCAGCACAGGTATCGAGACCCAGAACCGAACCGAAAAGCTTGAACGAATAGCAGATGAGCTTTTGAGTCTCAACAAGATAGAGCGCTTCGATTACGCAATCCTCTTAAGGCACAAAATGGGTCTGAACCGGTTCGGCCCGGCAGCTTCGGGAACTGGTCTACAGTCCACGTCAGCAGCAGCAGGCGGCTCAGCATCCGCGGCTGCGCCACAGGCCGCCAAAGAGAAAACAGCGTTTGATGTGAAATTGGAGAAATTTGATGCATCGGCGAAGCTTAAGGTGATTAAGGAAATTAGGGTGTTTACTGATTTGGGTCTCAAGGAAGCTAAGGATTTGGTGGAGAAAGCGCCGGTGGACCAATTCTTCCCCTACGGCTTTCTAGAGGCTGAGAAGATAGTGGAGAAGCTCAAGGAAGTTGGTGCTACTGTAGTATTGGAATGAACGAATGTTTCCTTGTTTTGGTAATGTAGAATTACATGAATTTTGATTGGTAAATGATAAACGTTTTTTGAGTGCTCATTGTTGATTTTTCAATAATTGACAGCATATTTTCAGATTAATTTGAAACATTAGCGGTCAGATTTACATTTGCAATTGAATTGAAACTATAGATTTTCATTTGTTGAGATGGTGAGATTATCTGTAGGATTTAATTCCTGATCGGATCATGAATTTTGGGGCAAATGCATTTTTTTTTCCAGTTGTAGTTTCTTGGTATCAGGTGATTTCGTACCGTTAACATGACATTAATTTTCTCCCCTGCACATGAAAATTAATCTTTTTACCAAACAATATCTATGCGGTGAATAATTAGTAAGCGATAAGCCCATTGGAATGTTAAGGACAGGCAGGCTCCGATAGTTCTTGGCGCAGAAGAAGCTAACTGCAAGGGTCCCTATTTGTTCATACCTCCCAATGTCATCTACTCAGTAAGCAGATTTCTGCAGATTATGATTTTCTTATGGAACATTTTTGCTGCATTCGTGTTAATCATATGCTGCTCTATCTGTTAAGAGATCTAAATATAGATGCCTGTCCATGTCAACTGTCGATCCATCCCAATAGCCATCTTGGTGCGGAATACATTTTATGTACTCCATTACTTTTCAGGTGGCAGCTAGAAACTAAGGGTCTTATTATCACCAAGTGTATTTTTCTTCCTCCCATTGTCCTCGTGGAGTAGTTTGTTTAAGTGGTAGTTTTGTGTTCTCATTCCACGAGGTCTTGTGCTGAGGGACTGCAAAAATCTTGAGCATGAAAAAAGTCCCATTGGGAAGTTTGTAGGTGTCATTGGTAACAAGCCATGTAATTCTCCAGTCTGGAAAATAGATAGAGAGCAAGGAGAGGATGAATTGAATGAGAAAGGATGATGAAAACAGAAAGATTAGGCTGAAACTGATGGATGTTCCATTACGGTGGAAATGATGCAGACTAGTTGGGATGATGTGGGAAGAAGTGACCTGAAATGACGAATAAGCATGGCCGATACGGCGTTCCCCCTTATAATTTTTTAGAGGCTCTATGAGGATAAGCAGAAGTTACCAAGATATGTAGGAGAGATTGATTATCCAGCACCGTAGCAAGTTGGGGTATTTACACCTTCGGAAGCCCTTGATATTGAAATAAAACTTGCTTTTGAGTATAGTAGGAATTTTGTCTAGTACTGTGATTCTTGGTAGTTTTGGTTCTAATTTGGTTCTCAACTTGAATGTTCTTTGAATATTTGAGAACCTCTTAATGGAAAAAAAATCATGTGGTGAAATGAGTGCAGCTGTATTCATAGGCATACAAGAAAAATCGTAAATCAAACATTCTGTCGTTCACTTCTTTGTTAGTTGCTCTTCTTTTCTCGTAAATTGCCTGAACGTTGAGCAGTTGGAAGAATATAAACCAAAAGTTCGAATATATTAACTCTAAATGACTGAAACTTCTCAATTCAGCACAAGATGAATTGTACATAATTACAGAAAGTAATTGCCATACAACAAAATGTTCAGATTCATTACATCCCTGATCCCCTTGCAAAAGAAGTTCATCTCAGCAGAAAACCTTTGCATTCTTGCCACCTGGGTTTCTGCATGTATATATATATATACATATAGGATTGGAACCAGGAAAAAAATCATATTTGACATAGTTGATGAGTTGAGATCTATTCAACTATCAACAATTGGAGAAAATCTTAGGTGGGGCTGTCGAACCAGTCCATGTGGAATGCCACCCTATCACAGAATGACACGTGTGCAATTTTAAGCAACTTTGACAACCATATATTTTTAAATTAAAAAATACATTGGGGCCTCTCTCTCTCTCTCTCAAACCTTTCCTTTAAATGGGTAGGTAAATTATTTTTGTCATCTCACCTTTTTCTATTTTTAAGGATTCTTCGTTTTTTTATTTTTTTATGTCTAAAAATAGTCATAGTCTATCTCAGTTTATGTGTTGCAATTTAGCAAAATAATTACACCATAAGCCCCTTTTTATCTTCTAAAATAACTTCAGCTACAAAATATCATACTTCAATAACGTGAAAAATGTAAACAAACTAATAAATAAATTTCACAAACAAATTCATTGGTACAAAACTTAGAACTTCATCAAATACATTTTATATAATAAAGCTCATATATACCAGTGTTATATCAAAACTTTCACTGTGCAGTCATTAATCTTTTCTTTGTAGATCATCAAAACTATAATAATGTGGATCCTACATAAAAATAATTCATTGACCGATGATGATTGCAATGTGAAAAAACACCTTAGTCAAGTAATGCATATCGTTGTGGCCCTGAAGCATGCTTTGAAGGTAAACATTTGAACACTCGGGAGCTAAGTGATGAATAAATGGAGTAAAGGCAGTCATAAGTGACAAAAAATAATATATTATTTAAGAATTGAATAAGGGTAATTATTGAGGGAAAAAAAAATAAAATTATCATATTTATTATCTTTCTTTGCCTTCTTTTTTCTTTTCTCCAAATTGCCCTTTGGCTTTCATATTTGGTGGATTTAATATTCTTGCCACATCCACATGAAAAATAAAATGATCATCCTATTTTATGAACTTTTGAAACACATTGATAGTTTGTTACCTTTCTTTAAGAATTGAATTAAGGATAATTATTGAGGTAAAAAAAAAATTATCTTATTATTACCTTTTCTTTGCCTTCCTTTTTCTTTTCTCCAAATTGCCTCTTAGTCTTGCATTTGTTATTCCTTTGGCTTTCACAGTTGGTGGATTTAATATTCTTGCCTCATCCACAAGAGCATGACAAGTAAAATGATCATCCTATTTTCTGAACTTTTGAAACACATTAATAGTTTCCTCATTTTTTTCAAGTAACATCATTGCTTTCGCTAACTTTCTTTGACAATCTTAGTTCCCGAAATTGTCATTAAGTCAACATTATAGACATTGTTTCCTTCGTGCATCAACTCATTGAGGCGTAATGATTTGGAAGACTTTTCATCATTTGCCGTTATTGACAAGTAACTTTTGTCATTAGTTGCCGCAATTCATTTCTTTGCCTCTTTAGTCCACCTCTTCATTATTAATAATGTTGGTATGCTAGTGAGATTATTCAAATCGAACACCTTTAAAGCATGTTGGCATAAAATCCCCAATGATTGAAATAACTTGAACAAAAAACATCAAATGTAAGGGGATTGTATATATGTTTGTAAACTTTTTGTTGACCTTCTTCAATTTCTTCATATGTGTAAAACTCATAGTCTCTACACACTTCTTTCATCCTCACTCCAATGCAACCCACTAGCTCCTTTTCAAAAATATTAAACATTCCTGGGGTATACAAATTAACTGTATGACTTAAAATACCACATCTTATGGACAGACGAGGAACACCATGTTTGCATCGATAATCATCTTCCAATTCAGCCTAGCGCATTTCCTCTATTTTCTTCTCATAGTGGTGTCCAAAATTAACAAGGTCCATTGTATTGGTAGAAATTTGATGAAAGACATTTTTTGTGTTGGGTTATTGGCGCAAAACGTCCCTACCTTTGAAGGGTTGTGTGGAAAACATCCCTACGTTTGATTTTTTGGTGCGCAACGTCCCTACCTATCAAGTTTATTGTAGAAAACATCCCTACCTTTCATTTTTTGGCACAAAACGTCCCTACCTTCTGCATTTCTTTGCACTGAACGTCCTTTGCACATTTTTTTTAATTCAAAATGACCAATATACCCTCCTATGTAAATTGAACAAGAAAAGAAAAATAAAAAAAGAAAGGATAATTGGCGCAAAACGTCCTTACCTTTGAAGGTGTTTGTGGAAAACACCCTACCTTTCATTTTTTGGTGTAGAACATCCCTACCTTTCACATTCTTTGCGCTGAAGGTCCTTTTCACC